GACATCCATGAAAACAATCATGGCCTTAACACCTTGACACTGAGCCCGCGTTACCAGGCCTGCCAGTCTGGCAGGCAGCAGGCCTCTGGTGGCTCAGGGCCCTGAGCACAGGGAGAAGTCTGGGCTGGACAGTTCAGGATACAACTGGCTTTGAGAGGCTCCCCAATGCCCACTGTGGCATCCCCACCCAGTGTCTATGAAACCAGATGAAATGGCTTCTGTCTCTGATGAAAATTCCACATCAAGGGCCCTTTTCTGTTCATTTATAACAATAAAGATAATATTACTAACAAGTGTTTTATTTTCAGGGGAACATTTATTGGTATTTCTGTATGCTCCATATTTAGAGGCTGTTCTCGAGTTATAAAATGGCCAGGTGGATAAGCAGGTAGGGATCCTCCTTCCCTAATGTATTCCATGCCTTTCAATCCTTCACACCCCACTATCCTCTCCTAAGTTCCCCAGAAATGCCTCTTCTTTCCCAGCCCATCCCTCTTGGCTCAGGAGCAACCCAACGGGGCTTAAGGAAAACTAGTTCTAGGTAATGTCAGTAAGACTGAGACATGCAAATTAGATCATGCACACATACATTTGTTCATTGATGAACAAATTAAAGAGGTTTGGGGTTTTGTTCCCGTTTCACTTCAGGATGCCTCAAAGCCTCTGATGTCCTCAATTCTCCCGTGACACTCTCAGAAAGAGATTTAGTGCACGCTGTCTCCGACACCCCTTTAACCAGGGGCTGCTCCCTGCACCCTGCTGACTGCTCAGTAAGTATTTTTAAGTGAATGCATTAGGAAACAGGTCCTGAGAGGCAACATAAAATGTTCCATTGAACAAGATAAACTCTTGTTCCCAGGAGCCCACTCTGGGAAGCAGGCTGGAGCCTTGTAGCAGAGATGATGCTTCGAATCTCTTTTCTGGTGGGGAATAGCCTAGAGTCAATTGCATAGATGAACTTGCAGTGAAACAACAGTGGAGACAGGACTATGTGCATGGTGTGTGTGTGTGTGTGTGTGTGTGTGTGTGTGTGTGTGTACACGCCAGTGTATGTTTCCGTGTAGCATAACTATACTTGGTAATATCATTTTGGATAAAAAAGATGTGTGAAGATAAAGCAATCAAAATTTTTTCTGCGGCCCATTGTCAGCTTGATTTGAGAAGAGATCTAAAATGTTCTGGCATTAATTTGAAAGAAAATGTGCACCCCTATGTTCATTGCAACTTTAGGTACAATGCCAAGCAACCTACGTGCCCATCAATAGACAACTGGATAAAGAAAATGTGGTACATATATACAATAGAATATTACTCGGCCATAAAAAGAATGAAATCTTACCATTTGTGACAACGAGGATGGACCTAGAGCAGTGATGGCAAACCTATGACACGCGTGTCAGAGGTGACACGCGAACTCATTTTTTTGGTTGATTTTTCTTTGTTAAATGGCATTTAAATATATAAAATAAATATCAAAAATATAAATCTTTGTTTTACTATGGTTGCAAATATAAAAAAATTTCTATATGTGACACGGCACCAGAGTTAAGTTAGGGTTTTTCAAAATGCTGACACGCCAAGCTCAAAAGGTTCACCATAACTGACATAGAGGGTATTATGTTAAGTGTAACAAATCAGTAAGTGAAGGATCAATACCATATGATTTCACTTCATATGTGGAATCTAAAGAACAAACTAAGTGAACAAATAAAACAGAAACAGACTCATAGATATAGAGAATGGACTGGTGGTTGCCAGATGAAAGGGGAATTGGGGGATGGGGTGAAAAGGTAAAGGGATTAAGAAGTACAAATTGGTAGTTACAAATAGTCATGGGGATGCAAAGTACAACATAGGGGATATAGTCAATAATATTGTAATAAATATGTATAGTGCCAGGTGGGTATTGGAAATATTGAGGAATCACTATGATTATCTAACCACCTGAAACAAATATAAAATATTGAATGTCAACTGTAATTGTGAAATAAAAGTATTTTGAATGACAATGTATATGGCTTTGTGAAGTGACTGCTAAAGAGGGCATTTATTTGGGTGTGCAATTTAGGATGTGTTTGCTAAAATCTGGAGGCATTTTTAATTCTCAGATCTTGTGCGTGTTTGTGTGCCTGATAATGTATCGTGTAAATTATAGCTTAGAATATGACTCTGGATATAAAATAACTTTATTGAAACAAAAATAAAGAGTAAAGTGACTGGATAGCTAGAGAGAGAGAGAGAAGTGTCTTTCTAAGCAAGAGCCGCTGCTGTCTTGTTCATTGCGGTAGGCAGAAAAAACCCACACCCCCGCAAAAAAAAAAAAAGTGTTCATACCCTAATCCCAGAGCCTGTGAATATATTACCTTATGTGACAAAAGGGACTTTGCAAATGTGACTTTGTTAAGGATCTTGAGGTTATAGAAGGAAATTATCTAGGGCTTTCTGGGTGGCCCAAATGTAGTCACATAGCTCCTTTTTGGGAGCTAAGAACCTTTCCAGGCTGTGTTCAGAGGAAGATGTGACTATGAAAGAATGTCCAGAGAGATGCAACATTGCTGCCTTTGAAGATGGAGTGGGCCATGAGCCAAGGAATGTGGGAAGTCTTTAGAACCTAGAAAAGGCAGGGAAATAGATTCTTTCCTAGAACCTCCAGAAAAGAAATGCCAACATCTTGATCAGACACGCATCAGACTTCTTACCTACAGAACTTTAAGACAATACAGTTGTGTTTTTTAAGCCACTGGGACTATGGGGATTTGTTATAGCAGCAATAGAAACAGAATTCATTGACCTCTCCTACCCTCACCCTTCATATTTCACTGTTCCACAAATTCTTAGCAGGTTTGCAGTAGTACCAATATCTGCACATATTGATTATTTTAGCTTGTGGATACAGACTTGGCACATCATGAACAATTCCAGAATGCTGACTAACAGCTATACCAGAAGGAACCTGCGAATCACAGAAGATGCCAAATGTGGCTTTGGAGGCCGTGTGAGACAACTATCTATTTTACAGAGGAGGAAACAGGTGCACATGGGCACATTTGTTTCTCCCCTGCCCCCCTCTCCTCCTCCCATGATCACATTTAAACACCAACCTAAGAGATGAGAAGCACAGCATAGGACAGTGATGGCGAACCTATGACACGCGTGTCAGAGGTGACACGCAAACTCATTTTTTTGGTTAATTTTTCTTTGTTAAATGGCATTTAAATATATAAAATAAATATCAAAAATATAAATCTTTGTTTTACTATTGTTGCCAATATCAAAAAATTTCTATATGTGACACGGCACCAGAGTTAAGTTAGGGTTTTTCAAAATGCTGACACACCGAGCTCAAAAGGTTTGCCATCACTGGCATAGAAGGTAATCAGTTCGAATCACTGTGCTTTCATTTACACCACTATTTGTTTATGTATGGGTATGTTTTACACGAAATTCTGTCTTTCTTGTAGAATTTAGAAAATAAATCTATTCCCATTCTCACTAATCCTTGACTTTCTCAAGCTGTGTATTCCCACCCCCACCCCCAGGAGACAGGTCTAATCAACACACAGCTATTGTATCCAATTCCTGTAAAGAGCGCATTGAGTTTATTTAGCCAAAGACAAGATAATGAGCAAGCTTAGTTCCTGTTGGGACCCACTCTCTTTAGCCATGACATGTGCACAGTTTGACTTTAATCTTTATCCTAGGACCTTCTGTGTTCCCTATGGATTCATCCAGGATTGAGTGGGATTTTTGGCCAACAGAGATGCTGGTAAATTTAAACACATTAATAAGCCAGAGGGATGATTGGGCAACCATCCTGACTGGCTACTGCTGTGTACTCACAGGTGGTCCCAGGGCGCCTTGGGGTCCCACGCTCCCTGTGATCCCTGGGACTCCGGGGGCTCCAGGAATTCCCTAGAGAAGCAGGAAAATAAAGCAAAGGTGAGTACTCCCACATTCTCACCAAAGACAGCCAGCTCTCAAGAAGGAGCAAGGGACACACACACAGAGCTCCCCTTCCCCTCAGCAACAAGACTTCAGGATCCATTGCTCACTCCTGGTCCCAGCTGCCAAAGAAGTAGGGAAGACATTTTTCAGTAGTCTCCAAACTACCAATCAGTTGTAGTTCTTTCAAATTCAAGCCTTATCTGTGTCTAATAAAAACTAAGTCAATGCAGGTGATCTCATGGGGAAGTGGCTCAGAGATCAAAGGATCCAGCCATAGGGTTGTATAATTTTTAAAGGATATTTTAGGCAGAGGTCTATAGCCAAGGCTGAGTTGTTACACTACAGCAAAGGTGGCTGCCAAGGTTAAAGGTCTGGTAAAAGATCTCTCAAAAGAAGTAAAATGCTTGAAAGCAGAGTACATGCGAGTAGTTTCTGGAAATACTTACAATCGGTCCTGGTGGTCCTGGAGGGCCAGAGGACCCATCCTTTCCAGGAAAGCCCTGGAGAAAAGAAACATAGCCTGTCAACCTTGCAGTCGCTTTATGTGGCTTTCAGAATAGGTGTACCTAATTCATTTAATATTCGGGGGCCAAGTCCTGTTGCTTGGTCTGAACTTCCAGGGATTCACTACTTTTGAACTCTTCATGGAAATTGTTCTTGGCAAGACTTGTGTGTCTATTGGCCCTATGAAATTGTCCAGTGCAAGAATTTTAGGTGTGAGAAGTGCTACTTCAAGTTCAAGCAGGAACTTGCTTCCAGAAAGTGTTTTTATTAAACGGAACCTAACAAAGGAGAAGGGAGGTCAAGTCTCTGGAACTAATGACCAGTCAGAAGGATGAATTAGTGTCTTCCATGACCTAAGAGGGTTTGGAGGAGGGATCCCTATCACCAGGATCGGTATTATAAATCAAAAAATGCTGTAATATCTGAAATTCTGCAACTCTCCAGGAGCAGCCTAGAGGACAATTTGGGAGGACTAACAGCTGCAATGATAGATTTTTTACTGCTGGACAGGTTTGTAGACTGTTATCATGGGCTTACAAATGGTACATCTTTGCTTTCCATTCCATGTTGGAAGAGCTTAAGACAGAAAACAAATGCTATTTTTTATTTTTTAAAAATCGCCCTAAAATAATGAGCATATGTATGTGTGTTATTTTTATGTGTGTTAAAAAAAATTAACAGCTGGAATGACTTACTTTTCCATGGCTATAGTTCTCAGTTGTGGGTGCTAGTCCTTCCAATGTAGTTAAAAACATGAGAGAGAATCTTCTATCTAATTTTTATAATAGGCTCATAAAATTGTGTCCAAAACATCACCTTCTACTACATAGAGAAATGGGCTTTTCATCGTGGGATTTTTTCCTATTGGAGAAATCCATTCCCATCTTGAACCAACCCAAACCAGCCTCTCCCAGCTTCCTGTTGACTTCTCCCAATTCTCTTTCTAAAATGTGTGCCACTCTCACAGTGAGCTCTTCTTTCTACTTATCTTGCTCATGAAAATCCACCTGCTTAGGGCTCCCCATCCAAGTTCACAGTATTCCTTCCTACCTCAAGGCATCAAATGAAAGAGAGTAAAGAGGAAGCTGGAGGAAAGGAAACAGTGTGTGAGTTGGGAGACAGGGTGTGAGAGGCAGCAGAGGAGGGTGTTGGATTAGAATGCAGGAAAGGCATTGGTCAGCAAGACCCTTTCATCATGCACTCAAGCTTGAGTGCTACAGATTCCTAAAACCAGATAAGAGAGAAGATTCTAGAGCTCCCCGACATGCGTGGTTTTCCTTTCTGCTTGGGCACATGAAGAGGTTACATTTCCCTGCCTCCTGCTCCAGTAATTATGTTGGAGCCACAGCGCTGAGTTCTGGCCGATGGAAAGGAGCCAGTTCCAGTTCTGGCTCATAAAAATTTCCCATGGGCAATCCTTCACTCCTTTCCTCCTTCTGTAGCAATGTCAGAGGCCACATGTTAAAGATGAGAATGTCCCAAGAGGAAAAGACCCTGAGTCCCTAATGACTATATGGAGCAGAGACCAGACTTCCCTAATCCTCTGCCTATCCCATTGACAGCAATGGATAATGAACAAACAATAGACTTTATTTTATTGCACTAAACCATTTTAATTTAGGGTTGAGCTTTTAGGCTTATCTTATAGTTGCTATTCTATACTAATACACAAGCTAGTGTTGTTGTTTCACTACTACTTCTTTCACTGTGGTTAGTCAAATATATTAAGTCAGAAAGCTGCAGTGATAACCTGGGTACAGAAAAGTTACACACACACACACACACACACCCTTCCTTGGGTCTGCTAGCTAGACAACAAAAATTAATACTGAGCCCTAACCGGTTTGGCTCAGTGGATAGAGCATCGGCCTGTGGACTGAAGGGTCTCAGGTTTGATTCTGGTCAAGGACATGTACTGTGGTTGCAGGCACATCCCCAGTGTGTGCAGGAGGCAGCTGATTGATGTTTCTCTCTCATCGATGTTTCTGACTCTCTGTCCCTCTCCCGTCCTCTCTGTAAAAAATCAATAAAATATATTTTTTAAAAATTAATACTGACATGGATTAGAATAAACTATTTTACATGGAACAGAATATACCATGTCCAAGAAGAAAAGCATAAAAAAAATCAGAATATGTGAGAGACGAACAGGACCCTAGAACTCATCCAGCCCAACTCCCTCATACGTGAGAAAACTTGGGACAAAGAGAGGTTAGGAGACCCTACCATAAAAAAAGGATTTTTAAGAAATCTACTCTTATTTCCTAGGTGAAGTTCACATAAGGAAAAAATGGACTCTGTGCACATATTCAATAATTTAAGAAGACATTTTTAAAAGGACAGCTTTTGCTTCCTGCCTTAAAACTCTTCCAGCTCTGGATGGAGAGCGAGCGTGCAGCCATGTGCAAGCCCACACACGGCCCCGGCCCACGGCCAGCACAACTGCCCCACATCAAGACTGTAGCCTGGCAGGAAGTCTGCCCTGACTTTCTCCCAGGCTGTGTCCAGAGGGAAAAAATCTCAAAAACAAGCGGAGGGCAGGAGGACAGCTTAATTCACAGAGGGATGCCAACCAGGGCATATTTTCCTAAAAGCAGCGAAGACCAGCAGGAAATAACACATTTACTCCCTGCTCCCAATCCTGCGGAAGGAGTTTAAAAAGCAAGGACCTGTTGGTGCGTCCTCCATGGTGGGGCCACGGATACTCCAGTGAACAGTTTCGAATTCATGTGATTTATAGACACCATCTGAAGGGAAGATGATGAAACTAAATTTGGCCGAGTGGCTAGTGCTGTAGTGATCAAGCCAAAGATGTGTTTGCTCACTCTCTTCTCCTACATACGGAGCATCCTCAGAAGCTGACATTTCTTCCTCCCTCCCTTTTTTGGGGGCCAAAAATTATGTTTTAATCATTGTTCTATTCCTAACACCTTCCTAGCACATTGCTGGCACAAAATAGGCACTACTACAATGTTTAATTTGAATAAAATTGTTTTTGAAGATGTGCTCTGATTATCATGTTGAATAAATAAATATTAATCTCAGGTATAATTAGTCTGAAGATGTATAAGGCAGAGGGATAGGCCAACGTCAGCCCTTCATTCATGAATGCCCCACAAGCAGGATGTCATCTACACTCAGAGGCTGACATTTCCTTTCAGTGAATATCTTAGGAGTCATGTCCTGGAAGGAGACCTGGGCGTTGTGCCTTAGATTTATAGAGGGAGTGTTCTTGGGAGACACCTTTCAGGTAGTGACAGAGGCAAGAGAGGGCAGGGGACGAGGTTAGGTCAGAATTGGATTTAGCTGATGGTTGGCCTCTGCCAGGTCCCATGGGAGTTCTGGAGTGTGGATTACATGTCAGAGTTGACCCCGGGTAAGGTTTTATATACCCACATCAGTTAGTCATTGACAGGGACCAAGGTGGCATTTCCAAGGGCAATTCTCTGTAGAAGAGGCAACTGTGAGTGGTTAGGAGTCAACATTCACAGCAGCTAGGGGATGGAGTAGACCTGCCAAGTGAGGGGATTTGATCAGTATCAATTTCAATGAATGTTACTCTAGCACTTTTTTATATGGACTGTTGTAATAAATTGAGTATTTTTCAACATAATAATTAAAGAATAAAGGTATCCTTAAGACTATCTACCATGAGTTACCTATTTTCCTCATTCCCAAATTAAAATGTATTTTTTACACATTATTATATCTGCAAGTATCTTAAGTTTAATACTGTTTTAAAAACAGAAAGTCATTTCCCCCACAAATGTATTCCTAACCCTAGAAAATACAAAAGTTCACATTATAAAAAAATAGTTTTATTTTTTAACTTTTGAATCACACTAGTAAATTTACCTTTGAAAGACTTTTACTTGTAAGCCTCACATTTGTCACATTATTAAAAATATTTGCAGCCCTGGCCGGTGTGGTTCAGTTGCCCCATGCACCAAGAGATCAATGGTTCCACTCTTGGTCAGGGCACATGCCCAGGTTGTAGGCTAAACCCCGAGTATGGGGTGTACAGGAGGCAGTTGAGCAATGGTTCTCTCATCATCGATGTTTCGCTCTTTCCCTTCCCCTTTATCTCTCACTGAAAAATTAATAAAGACATATTTTAAAAATGTTTGCAGAGCTATTGTGTGCTGGGCACTCTGTAGGTCTGGAGTAGACATGATTGAAAAAGAGGGTGTCTTTCAAAGGCGTTTATAATGTTGAGAAAAGTCAACAATTGAAAGAAAATAACAACGTGCTATGATGATGGAACTAGAAGAGTTCCTTGGGAACGTGTAGGAAGAGCACCTAATCCAGGTGTGGGATCCAAGGATGATTTCATAGGAGAGGCAGCATTTAACTCAAGGGACCCAGGATGGTCAGCCACTGCTTTAGTCTCCCTGCCCAAGTACCTGGGTTACAGCCCATCCTGTCAAGCCAGTCAGCACTGAGGCAGGGGCTCAGGTTCGTTTTATCATCTCCTCACCTCAGGGTGACCAACAATAGCAACCGTTTTTTAACAGAGAAACACAAAATGTTGTAAAATGTCTACACTTCATAGGGCAAAATAGTAAGCACATTCTAGCTTCATGATTCAGTTTAAGTTAAAGCTCACTGGACAGTCTCCAACCCTGTAAGTTAAAAATGTGTTTGCATTTCCCAAAACATTTCTATATCTATAAATTATCCATTTTATGTCAGGGGGTAGGAGCAATCTGAGAAGTGTGTTTGTGGATTAAGCACTTTTAAAAAGCAGAAACCCTTAATTAACAATAAAGAATGAATATTAAGGAATAAGAGGTTAAATGATAAGCATAATGTGGGAATTTACTTAAACTGACAAATATATTTTTTAAAGGGCATGAAATGAGCCACCCACAAATAGGGATGTTTTATAACATACATAGCTCCAGGCATTTCTCTTTTTTTGGGATTCCCATCTCAAAATATTAATATGTACCCACAACCCACATTAAAAATATTTTTGCTATAAAAACTTGAAAGG